TGAATATTTTTTGTGTACACATACATACTATAATCTTGTGAGCTTTAATTTGTGTAGCTATATGTAAACTTGATCGTAACTCACCGTCTTTGTGACTATATCATGGTTGTGTCCAGTCGATCCCTCACATTTGTACAAGACTGGTACATATAACTAGAGGTTATTGAGTAGCAAATCACAGACTTGCTCATGTACTATGGGGTTATTTAGTAACCTATTGCAGTCTGATATTTGTAATTAGGGGTTATTGAGTAACCTATCACAGACTTGTTCATGTAACTAGGGGTTATTGAGTAACCTTTTAGTCTGGTACATGTTACTAGGAGTTACTGAATGACCTGTCAGACTGCTACAGTTACTAGTGGTTAATGAGTAACCTATCGGTTACTGGTACATGTAACTAGGGGTTTCAGACTAGTACAGTTACTAGGGGTTATTTAGTAACCTATCGCAAACTGGTACATGTTACTTTGGGTTATTGAGTAACCTATCACAATCTGGTTCATGTGTATAACTAGGAGTTATTGAATGACCTATCAGACTGGTACACTTTTCTAGGGTCTATTGAGTAACTTATCACAGACTGGTAGGTTACTACAGGTTATTGAGTAACCTAGAGGTACATCTCCTGTACAGATGTGCCTGATATATATATATATATATTTTCACTGCGAGAGAAAGTGGGCTATTGTGAGGTATGTGTGGAATCACACATTGTAGCGCCATCTAGAGGGTGGCTGACATGTAAATTAAAAACCATGTAAAACAATGTTTGTCTCTTGTTGTGAATATATAAGGCCAGATTGGGTATCATTTTAAGAAGGATTTGTGAGCATGTTTTACATCATCAGAAAATATATACATGTCCTCATTTCCTCCCTGGTTACTCTCACTTATGCTCTCTGCATCCATAGAATATGTCATGACAAAATCGAAGGCACACTGCTAGCTATTTGATTGAAAAAAGCTGACCAATCACCAGGCTGTTACCTGTCCTATATAGAGGTCAGTCACACCAACTTCAAATGTAGTTAGTCTTACTGTTTATTTTGATGTGCATCAAATGATCAAACTAGTCTTCTTGTCTCATTCACAAGGTGGTGAACAATCGGCTTTCAATTTTTTCATGACATATTTCTGGGGTGCGGAGAGCGTAAGTGAACGTAACCCCTCGAGTAACAAATGCATTTCCTTGTATCTCCAAGACAGAGCTGCTATCCCATGGAAGAAAGCAGTCACATGGAAATACAGAAAAAAAAATCTGTTTATATGGTATTCTACAAGTTGAAAATCAAGCTGATGACAAAATATCATGGTCTAAAACTAGATGTGTAACTTTTGCCCAACCAATGCCATGAGAATCAAAACTTCTCCCAATCTTTCCATTTATACTGTAGTTGAAAAACATAAATAGAAAATTACTATCTTTTATGTAAAGGCTAAGTATGTTTTGAACACAAACAGGAATTGAAAACTTCTTTTGCAAGTTTTCCAAAACGTCTGTTTCTTTTGTCAAGTAAATAGTGTAAAATGCTTGAATGATCATAATGTTGCTTCTTTGCTTGACGCTTTCGAAAGCTTGCAAAATAAGTTGACGAACACTTTGCAAAATAAGTTATCAGTTCCTGTTTGTGTTCAAAACAAACTTAGCCTTTATTATTCATACCAAACTGATGAATCTTATTCCAAATGTCATTAAGGTAATAGGTTTGTGTCACAATTTCTCAGTAGAATTTCTTCAAATTTTGTAGTTATATTGCTTTGAAGTAAGAAAAATTTTCTGCCACAAAAAAAAAATAGGTTGCCAGAATTTTAAGGATTTAAAATGGAAATTTATGTAAAATGTAAAAGTGAATTTTGAAAAAAAAAATGAAAAACAGTTTTTTCAAAATAAGGTCAATAAAAATGATACTGCCATAGATAAGTATTGCATTAATGTATATCAATTTAATAAATGCTGAAATTGTGTAAAATAAATTGTCTATAAATGATTAAAAATTGACATTTTATAATCATAGTAATTGCATGTAAGAGTTATCTTTCTTGAAAATGTTCACAGTAGTGAAATAGGTAGCCGGTTTCCTAAAGTACAGAAAAATGGACACATGTGACTCATTGATAAAAAACAACTGAATTAATGCCTGGATTGCTTTGAAATACTTTAATATTGAGAGAACACACTGTTCTGTCAATAATAAACATACAATATTCATCACAACTCTAGACTCATTAGAATATGCGTAAATTGTGATACTGTCTCCCTACATTGGATTTTCAACTAGGAATGTACTTCCTATTTCCGTTTATCAATACACTCATTCGACCTTAAGGTACATTGTATGTATGTGGGAGATCAGGGGAAATTCCATCTTTTAGCTTGTTTGAATTTGGAGAAAAACCTAACGTAAATCCTCCACACTAATAACCAATTTGGTGGCGCATGCCATCTCCCAAATACACTCGCACATATATAACCGACACCTGTTCTCGTCATGGAAACTTTCTTATTTGAGAGATGAAACATTGTACTAATGTGAGGAACAGAAAAAAAAATGTTCTAAAATAATAATCTATATTCAACAACTTTTTTAACTTTTTGGTTAGACTAATAGAAAATTAGTAACTATAGAAAGATGAGTAAAGTGAATCTGGTTTACTCATCAAGGTATATATGGTAAAAGTGATTTTTTGTGTGTGTTGGAAACGTTCGCATTGTGACCCTTTAACCTATTTTGGTGTGGAAATTTTTGCGTTGGCAATAGGTCTTCAATCTATATATTCCATAAATAAATACTTTATGTTGAATTTCTGCGCTAATTTACTCAATGTGAAAAATGTAAACATTTCCCCAACAAGAGAATTTCCACTTTCACATGCAGTATATGGAGACTATAGTAAGCTAGGCTAATTAAGTAAGACATTGTTCAAATTGGTAAGGAAATCAATTTGATGCATATTCTTTGCGTGTTTTTGTTTTAATATGGCACAAAGACGAACCAGACACCGGTTAATGGCTACAACGCAGTGCCAAGACCGATTGTTGCTCCTACAGGCACGGCGTCACAGGTCCAGACTGCCACAATTACGAAATGACCTCCTAAATGCTTCTGGTAACCGGGTAGCCTCTCGGACAGTTAGGAACCATCTTCATGGTTTAAGGTCACGTAGACCAGCAATAAGAGTTCCCTTAACTGCCCTCCATGTTAGGGACCGATTAGATTGGGCCCATGCAAGCTCACAGCACTTAAGACTCTTCAGGAATGGGAACCGGTTCTTTTTACTGACCAGTCCAGATTCTGTCTCGACTTCACCGATAGGCGCGTTAGAGTATGGAGACAACCTGGGGAGAGGTTCCAGGCAGGTAACGTTGTGGAACATGACCGATATGGCAGAGGATCAGTAATGGTGTGGGAAGGCATAAGCCTTTGTGGGAAAACTGACCTCCATGTCTTCCATAATGGTACCGTTACGGCCCGGATTTACTGCGATGAAATCCTTGATGCCTATGTCAGACCCTACGCTGGCACTATTGGCCCCGACTTCATCCTTATGGACGATAATGCTAGACCACATAGAGCAAGGGTGACTGAGCAGTATCTACAGCAAGAGACTATTCAATGAATGGATTGGCCAGCCCACTCGCCAGATCTAAATCCAATCGAGCCTGCGTGGGACATGCTGCAGACAGCTTTCTCTGCCAGATATGTTCAGCCAAGAATGCTCCAGGAGCTGGGAACAGCTTTGGTAGCTGAGTGGAACGCTATCCCACAAAACTGGATACGCGATCTCATTCGGGGCATGCGCAGACGTTGTGTAACTGTAAGTGATGCTCATGGGCGTCACACTCGATACTAAAACAGTTTCTGTTTATTTAGGATGAGTTTTGTTCAATTTAAGTTTTTTCAGTGAATACCTCGTTGTTACCAATTTTAAGGGTAACCGTTTTCCTGTTGCTCGTTTTCCAACTAATTACGATTTTTGGAATTTTTGCATGCTGATGAATTAAAAGAACAATCAATTTTTCAAAAATAATCTTGGTATAAACCAAATAAAATATTTATTTTCACATATGCCCAAAAATAAAAGTGATCCTTAGCAAAATGTGAGTAGTAGGCTATATGTTCAACTTCTGTAGGCAAGATGCAAATCATTGTCAAGGTGTGATAGCTGTTGTAGCTATTACATAGGTGATATTTAAAACGCCCCCATTACAGAATGTATTATTTGTGGTTATACTATCGTCAATGTTTTCCTGGTGAAGAGGAGAGGATCTGCAGTACTATTTGTTTGCTTTCAAAGTCGTATGAAGAGGAGCTAACAGAACAGATATTTGTGATAGTCGAAAAATATACAAGTTATAGCCATTCTAATTAAAAATTGCTTCTTTAATACCATAAAAATATTTCTTCAAATTGCAGCTTAGACTAGCATTTCTAGAATAATTTGACATGACATCAAACTTGGGAATCCAATTTTAATCCCATGTGGATCATTTGTAACATGCTGGATCTCTGCAGAGCCTTGTCATCTTCCAAAACGTTTTTTTTTTTTTTTAGGATCGGCATGCTTTACTCGATGCACCCAAACAAGGTTTAAACATAAGGGTTCAGGGTGCAGCAGTCACATTAATTAATTGAGAAATCTGCGGAGCATAGAACTTAGCAAGTGACCAGGTTACGCATATACTAGGTGCACGCGTCATCCAAAGATTATTTCAACGTACATAAGATACCATCCTGATGTTTCATTAATGGTGCATAAATTTGGCTAAGCATACAATGTTCTTAGGTCTGGTTAAACATCTACTTGAATTAGCGATAGAAAGAATACAATTTCAATATTGATCACATATTAAAATTGTATGTGAAATAAATGATCACAGTATATTTCAACTCCCAAATAAACAGTTTCAAACAGCCTCTAGTTTGACAACTTCCTCCAGAACTTGTCTCTTAGGTCACATTCTTGGTTACAAAACAAAACAAACAAAAATAATTTCAATATTTATTTTTGTATTAAAAAAATACTTCAAGGCCATAACAAAAATGTTCATGCTTCATTATATTCACTTTGGTAATTATGATATGGACAGCGTTTACCTATATGATCAAAGAGAATGGAAATTAAAAAGCAGCTACGTATACACAGGTGTATCTTCCAGAGCGTAATTTTGCTACCCCGAGGTACTGGTGTTACATAATGCATGTAAAAAGCTATAGATGATGTTTCAAGGTTTATTAAGCGAGTATCAGTACCTAAACATTTCTAACTGACTAAATTTTTGTAATATCACGTATAAATTAGAGGCAGATTGTATATGTGGCTTTTGGTCATCTCCAAGTCTCGCATACAAGCAGAATCTTGAAACCACGCAAACACATCTTAATTAAAAGTTGTACAAAGTATACAATTTATTATAACTAGAGGTAGGAGTATACATTGTCAGTGGTCATTTCTAAGTCTATCCATGACATACCAGAAGAGTCAACACAAACAAGTCTTATAACCTATACAAATTATACTACGTGTCCACAGTATGAGACTGTGGGTGGCCTTTGGACATCTCCATGCCTATAGCATACGAGTATAGTCTTGAGTCCACACAAACGCCTGATTTTGCAAATTCTGAAAGCAAAAATAATTAAAATAAGACAGAACATGACTTAAGAACTTAAGGATACCAAAGGACTAGGGGCGTTAAGGGTAATGTCCGGCCTCGTCAGGGATTTTTGTATTAGTTATATTCGTAATCTGGAATAAATGAAGTATGCAAATATGAAATATCAAATTCATTTGACAACTGGTTTAGGAGAAATTGCATTTCAAAGAGATATAAACCCACATTTTCATGATAAAATGTGTGAATATCGTCTGTTGTGCGCTATTAGGTTGAAAATTGGCCATTTTGAAGGAATTAACTAAACACTTTCACATTTTTTAAAGCCTCCACATGCGACAAACAAATTAACATTCGCAGAAAGAAATTTTTGTTTGTCACATGCGGAGGCTTTCATTTCTGCATGCTAACTGTCCAAAACACCATATTTTGGCTATTTCTGCATAGCAACGCGATTTCGTTGCTGTGGTAAGGCATCTACAAATGCGCACTGGAAAAAATATACACCTAAAAACAAAGCCCCAATTAACCAATAGGATGTTTATAACAGGAATTGGTAAACAAATTGAAATTTGTTATGAGGCCAAAAATTACCTATAACGCCCCAGGTCCTTTGCTAAACCTTTAAAATGTCTACTTGTGAAGAATAGATGAGCCTAAATTAATAATGATATATACTTGCTGCCAGTTAGCGAATAGAAAATCATCTTGACCTATATTCAAAGTCACAGGCCTGGGATAGAATATGTTAAGACTTCTTGAAAATTGGTGATAACAAGAATTATTTCAAGAATGTATGACAGACAATGGACAAAGGGCAATTCGAACAGCCTTCCATTTAATGAGAATGGACTATATATACATACCATTCAGTTTTCCGAGTAAGTCATTCATTGGAACATGAACTACTTCAATAAATTCTGAAAAAAATACATCAAAAGGATTATTGGACAATTGCAATTGCTAGATTCTTTAAATATTTCCTTAGTATATGTACACCAGTATGAAAAGTCTCATGTATTCTGAGATCAAAGACAGAAAGTTATAACTCACAGGCTATACACTTCTTGCTGAGCTATTTATTTTTGGCATACTGACATACAAGGACTCGCACAACTAATTCGGCCAATAGCCAATCCCTACCTTAAATTTGTTCCATTTAAATACAGTGCCTCCGAGTAATTATAATGCGTAAATATTGACACAAAATTTTTTTGAATGAAATCTACAGATTTTAGATTTGGAAAAATGTTCAGTTTTAGTTGATTTTGATATGTGATGGAGGATTTATATGGGGTCAAAAGTTGGGGTGTTTCCAACCTGCTTCACCAGTTTGGCTTGTAAACTTCTGGTTGTCAAAAGCAGACGCCTGTAGCGTTCTTATATGCCACTAAACCTGACAAAAAATGCCTTTTAATGCCTTTGTCAGGTATGTTTCTATAAATCTAGACAGTTGTCACAAGTTTTGAACTTCAAATATTAATGCTATTAGTAAAACGAGTCATACAATCTGTGGATTTTTCTAGATCTTAGGTGGAAAGATATTGTTTTCAGTTTAAAATGTCAAGATATTTTTGCTTAATGGCACCTTGCACCATAGACCTTTTCATTATAATCGAAATCTCGCTCAAACATGTAATGGTTGAAGAATGCAGGAGAAAATGAACACATCTTATCATCCAGAAATCAGATAAAAAGGTGAATTCAGTATGCAGGATATGATAAGTGGATAGATAAGAAAAGTATGATATCTCAGTAAGGATATGTTATTAGATCAATTATAGTTAGCACAAACTCACTTACCAGACTCCTCTGTAACCAGCCGAGCAGGACAGGAAATTAAAAGGAAAAGAAGTGTATTAATGTCAATAACAAATAATGAAAACAATCTAGCAACTAAATCATCTTTGTGAGATTAAAATAATATAACAATTGATTCAAACAAGGTGTGCTCTAACATCTGTCTCGTCTATATTATATTTCTGATTTTTTTTCTTCAGAATAAACCTTCCAATTTTATCATAGAAATCTCAACTGAGACCTGACCATAAAAATCCAACTAATTCCAGTTCCAGATCACAAAAGCTATGTTGTGTAGCCCAATTGTAATCAACTGAGTAGAGCAAGGCAGAGTTGTTTTCTTTTTCAAGTTTGAATTTCATGTTTAATTTCAAGATTTTTGAAAATATCCAAAAAAAAAAATTTGTATGCAATTAAGTAACAACCAATTGGTAATTGGGGTAGCCATTTAATTATATCTTAAGAAGTTGGACAAAGTTATTTCAATCTTTGTTGAATGGAGTGAGGCAAATAGTGTCGGTGAACAGTATATTTTTTCCTATTGAGATGACAAAAAAAAAGATATTCGCAGATTTCATACAAATACACTTACCTGTTTGTGATTTTAAGTGAAATGAAACAAGAGGCCCAGATGGCCTGTATCGCTCAACTGTTTTTTTTTGTTACATGAAACTGACATATAGGTAACTTCAAACCAAATTTGGTAAATAGAACACAAGACATTTTAACATCTCTTAAACGGTTCTTAAGATATATATTGTTGTTTGAATTTGAAATTTTAATTTAAAGCTTTTAACCCATGTTGACCTTTGACCCCTATGACCTTGAAACTAGGTCAAGGTCACTTTACTGAGGAAACTTTATAGCACTCTGTCCCAGGTACAGTGTACCTACTGGCCAAATATCATGACCCACGGTCCTCCAGTTCTTCAGAAGAAGTCGTTCAAAATAATAATTTGACGAACAGACGCCGGATGCTGCAGTATGGCATGATCATGAGTTCACATGGTCCTTCGGGCCATGTGAGCTAAAAATTACCCATTTAAGTGGTTAAAGGGCGCATTTTCATTCCTGTTTTCGAATTTCAGTCCAGGAATTTATTATAAAGCAAAATTGCAATTATCTGGAAGACAGCAGAAAGACAAAGCACTTAATGTACGTGAACATTGACGCTGGAGGATGTTTCTGACAGGACAGAGACGTGAATAATTTATGCAGATAGAACAGTGGCTATACTGATTCACTTTATTGGTTGTGTAATTGGGGAAAAACAAATTGGCCAGTCCTGGATTTGAACCCGTGACCCTCTGGACTCTATCTGCATCACTCACCTGGAGCGGGGTTACCTGCATGCACTTACCTGGGTTGGTCTGTGGATTCTTATTGTCATCAGTATCACCATCGATCTGAAGTGTAAATAATGTCAAACTTATCAGTCTGATGATGATCACTGAAAGAGGATCATGGAAAGCTCAAAAATTGTTAGTGTAACAGAGGTCATTATTTTTTTCAATGCCTCCGCTAGGAGTCGAACCCAGAACTGCTGGTATACTAGTTCACGCTCTTCTAAATGAGCTAAAGAGAAATTCTACCTAGCTGAGTCGGTAAGAAGCGGCTTGTATTTCACCTGGGTGACATTATAGCATTCACTTAATTTACATCATAAACTGTATAGAAAGATAAAAATTCCTGGAATTTGAGAGCAGTGGGCCATTTCAGCTATTTTTAGTCAATATCAAAATGTAGAGGGGCCATTCTATGTAAAATTAAAAGAAAATTGGAACATTTCAGTTTTGAGGGGTCAATAGCCCCATTGCCCCCTCCAGAATTATCCCTAGAAAGTATAGATCACCTTTCTGCTAATTAACCTTTACTGAGGTGTGTATATTGATGTGTATTCCCATCCGGAGCTAATTAATTAAATGTAGGTGATCATCATTACCTCTGCAGTGACTACCTGGACAGTAGCATTTTCAGTCCCTGCATCCATACAAGTGACTGGAATTAATGGATAGAAGGTAAATAATACCAACAGTTACAATCAGTTGAAACAGTGCATATCAAACTATACATTTGTGACATTCAAAAATAATATATCAGTCCTCCAGGCTGGCCTTAACCAGGTAATTTGGATTTATTCTGGTACACATTTTATATGAAATACTAGTTTGGATAAAAAATTATTAGCTGAAGCCAATAGTTGAAAACTTAAAGTCATTCAAGGTTTTGTAGGCAACCTTCCCATTGTGCTGTACATACGTTCAGAACACTCTGGACATATATGGGTTGTTATTCTTTTCCCTTTAAATGCCAGTGAACACACTCCTAATGAAACAAAATGGCCATAAGGTGTCATACATGCTTTCTTTGTTTGCCTTTTTGCATCAAAATACTAAATGTTCAAATGAGTGTTTATAAATTACTCTGTACTTCTAGTGATTATATATGGCATAGAACTTACCAGGAGATGTGTTAAAGTCACTATACTTACAGGGTGAGCTATGTTTTACTGTAGCCTTATAACCTGTTTCCTCTTTTAGCTCCCGGACAGCAGTTTGCTCTGCTGTTTCGTTCTTATCTATCAATCCTTGGTGAAATAGCAAAATACAAGGTATCAATCAGTGGTATTTCCTTTGTGGAAGGTTGATAAGAAGCAATCAATGTTCAAAATTTCTAACAAAACATGACACTCACCTGAAAACTCAGAGTAAGTTTCCAAGGTATCATACTAGTCTTTTGTCAAAATTATAATTGTATACTTAATCCCTAGAAATTCAGTTATTAATATCATCAAAAGATTATCAACTTTTTATCTTGATCTTTTTATTTGATTTTAAAAAGACAACCATACTGAAGTACTATATAGTGAAAAAATTCCCTATCACAACATTATAACATTGTCTAGTCACGCCCTAATATACAAATTTATCTTTACCATTCCAATTTTCATGATCCCTCTTCTACCACAAGATTCTGCCTAGTCATTATACAATATCAAAACATCGATCCAGGTCTGCATTAGTTATTACCCAGAAAAAAATTACACTGATTTGACCTTTGACCCTTGATATGACCCTGACCTTGTGATACAAACATGAGAATGGTACAACACTTCATGATATATCCATTTATATAGTTCTATAGAAATGTGTTTATACATTCACCTAGTACCTCCTTGTAAAATACTTTGATTTTTAACCTTTTGACAACCTTGACTTTCTAGGTTAATACAATTATAAGGATCATTTGACCTTTGACCTCATGTTGTGACCTTGACCATGGACTACAGACCTTCTATTTTTCGTAATATTAAGCTGTTAAAAATAAATAAATAAAACTGTCTAGTTTACAAAAAAAAAAATCATTACATTCGTAGTTTCAGGAAAACAAGAATGTATCTATTCCTGTAGACTGAGGGGTGTATGGCCCAATGTGAAATAAAACTTACCTGCTGGCATCTCCAGAGTATATCCTTTCATTGGAGGCCGGTACTGTTTGACAAGGACCAGGCAATCAAACTTGAGCAAACGCTTGAGGACAGCAATCACACACACAGCTAAACAACAACAGTTTCTACCTCATAACAATGGCTTTTTGAAGAGGAGAAAAGTCAGAATAGCTAAAAGGCATCAACATGGAAAGAATAAATGGGTCAAAGACAAGGTTCAAGGCACCAACAAAAAGATTTCACAGATCACAGATCACAGACTAGGTTTAAGGCACTGACACGTAAGAGATGACAAAGGTCACAGACTAGGTTAAAGGGGACAAAAGTCACAGACTATGTTAATGGGGACAAAGGTCACAGACTTGGTTAAAGGTGCTGACAAGGAAGAGCAGACAAAGGTCATAGACTAGGTTAAGGTACTGACACAGAAGTGGGGACAAAGGTCACAGACTAGGTTAAAGGTGCTGACAAGGAAGAGGGCACAAAGGTCACAGACTAGGTTAAAGGTGCTGACAAGGAAGAGGGGAAAAAGGTCACAGACTAGATTAAAGGTGCTGACAAGGAAGAGGGCACAAATGTCACAGACTAGGTTAAAGGTGCTGACACAGAAGAGGGGACAAAGGTCACAAACTAGGTTAAAGGTGCTGACAAGGAAGAGCAGACAAAGGTCACAGACTAGGTTAAAGGTGCCGACAAAGAAGAGGGGACAAAGGTCACAAACTAGGTTAAAAGTGCTGACAAGGAAGAGGGGACAAAGGTCACAGACTAGGTTAAAGGTGCTGACACAGAAGAGGGGAAAAAGGTCACAAACTAGGTTAAAGGTGCTGACAAGGAAGAGCAGACAAAGGTCACAGACTATGTTAAAGGTGCTGACAAGGAAGAGGGCACAAAGGTCACAGACTAAGTTAAAGGTGCTGACACAGAAGAGGGGGAAAAGGTCACAGACTAGGTTAAAGGTGCTGACAAGGAAGAGGGGACAAAGGTCACAGACTAGGTTAAAGATGCTGACACAGCAGAGGGGGCAAAGGTCACAGGCTAGGTTAAAGGTGCTGACAAGGAAGAGCAGACAAAGGTCACAGACTAGGTTAAAGGTGCTGACAAGGAAGAGGGCACAAAGGTCACAGACTAAGTTAAAGGTGCTGACACAGAAGAGGGGAAAAAGGTCACAGACTAGGTTAAAGGTGCTGACAAGGAAGAGGGGACAAAGGTCACAGACTAGGTTAAAGATGCTGACACAGCAGAGGGGGCAAAGGTCACAGGCTAGGTTAAAGGTGCTGACAAGGAAGAGCAGACAAAGGTCACAGACTAGGTTAAAGGTGCTGACAAGGAAGAGGGCACAAAGGTCACAGACTAAGTTAAAGGTGCTGACACAGAAGAGGGGACGAAGGTCATAGACTAGGTTAAAGGGGACAAAGGTCATAGACTAGGTTAAAGGTGCTGACACAGAAGAGGGGACGAAGGTCATAGACTAGGTTAAAGGGGACAAAGGTCACAGACTAGGTTAAAGGTGCTGACACAGAAGAGGGGACAAAGGTCACAGACTAGGTTAAAGGTGCTGACACCGAAGTGGGTACAAACATCAAAGACTAGGTTAAGGTACTGACACAGAGGAGGGGACAAAGGTCACAGACTAGGTTAAAGGTTCTGATACAGAAGAGGGGACAAAGGTCACATACTTGGTTAAAGGTGCCGACACAGAAGAGGGGACAAAGGTAAGAGACTAGGTTAAAGGGGATAAAGGTTACAGACTAAGTTTAAGGTGCTGACACAGAAGAGGGGACACAGGTCACAGACTAGGTTAAAGGTGCTGACACAGAAGAGGGGAAAAAGGTCACAAACTAGGTTAAAGGTGCTGACACAGAAGAGGGGACAAAGGTCACAGACTAGGTTAAAGGGGCTGACACAGAAGAGGGGAAAAAGGTCACAAACTAAGTTAAAGGTGCTGACACAGAAGAGGGGACAAAGGTCACAGACTAGGTTAAAGGTGCTGACACCGAAGAGGGGAAAAAGGTCACAAACTAAGTTAAAGGTGCTGACACAGAAGAGGGGACAAAGGTCACAGACTAGGTTAAAGGTGCTGACACAGAAGAGGGGAAAAAGGTCACAGACTAAGTTAAAGGTGCTGACACAGAAGAGGGGACAAAGGTCACAGACTAGGTTAAAGGTGCTGACACAGAAGAGGGGAAAAAGGTCACAAACTAAGTTAAAGGTGCTGACACAGAAGAGGGGACAAAGGTCACAGACTAGGTTAAAGGTGCTGACACAGAAAAGGGGAAAAAGGTCACAGACTAGGTTAAAGGTGCTGACACAGAAGAGGGGACAAAGGCCACAGACTAAGTTAACGGTGCTGACACAGAAGAGGGGACAAAGGCCACAGACTCAGTTAACGGTGCTGACACAGAAGAGGGGACAAAGGTAACAGACTAAGTTAACGGTGCTGACACAGAAGAGGGGAAAAAGGTCACAGACTAGGTTTAAGGTGCTGACACAGAAGAGGGGACAAAGGTAACAGACCAAGTTAACGGTGCTGACACAGAAGAGGGGACAAAGGTAACAGACTAAGTTAACGGTGCTGACAAAGAAGAGGGGAAAAAGGTCACAGACTAGGTTTAAGGTGCTGACACAGAAGAGGGGACAAAGGTCACAAACTAAGTTAAAGGTGCTGACACAGAAGAGGGGACAAAGGAAACAGACTAAGTTAACGGTGCTGACACAGAAGAGGGGAAAAAGGTCACAAACTAAGTTAAAGGTGCTGACACAGAAGAGGGGACAAAGGCCACAGACTAGGTTAAAGGTGCTGACACAGAAAAGTGGAAAAAGGTCACAGACTAAGTTAAAGGTGCTGACACAGAAGAGGGGACAAAGGTAAGAGACTAGATTAAAGGTGCCGACACAGAAGAGGGCACAAAGGTCACATACTAGGTTAAAGGTGCCGACACAGAAGAGGGAACAAAGGTAAGAGACTAGATTAAAGGTGCTGACACAGAAAAGGGGAAAAAGGTCACAGACTAGGTTAAATGTGCTGACACAGAAGAGAGGACAAAAGTCACAGAACTGACACTGTGAGGACCAAGTTCAGACAAAGTTAAGACAGTGACACAGAGTAGAAGGAAAAATTCAAAGACTATGTAGCAGGCATTGAAGAGGACAAAAGTGAGAGATTTTGTTAAAGACACTGACACATTTACAAAAAGAAACAAGAGTACTGCGGGGCGGAACAAAATACGACCGTCGAATTCCATATAGTGTTACATACTTTCTTACATTGAAATAAGATCTGCATCATTCTAAGAATTATTAGCTGATATGCTATAAAAAATGTATGAGAAAATCTTCGGACAAAAAATCAAATACTGAAATGAACAAAAGGCAATAAATTTTGCAAAAATCGTCGAATCAAAATTCTTTTCAGGGAGACACAATTTCATATCATGAATATAAAGTATAATAAGTTTCAAAGAGATCCATTGAAAAATGTAGGAGGAGATTGCCGGACAAACATCAAATACTGAAATGAACAAAGGGTAATAACTTTTGGAAAAATTGTCGAATCAAACTTCTTTTAAGGGAGACACAACTTCATATCATGATTATAATGTATACCAAGTATCAAATAGATCGGTCGAAAAATGTAGGAGGAGATTGCCGGACAAACAAAGTTTACGCCGGCCGGCCGAAAAACGCCATACCATAATACTACCGTCAAATTTGACGGTCGTATAAAAAGGACAAATATCATTTACAAATTAAATGAACATTGTACTAAGGTTTATATTGGTTCACTTACCATCACCGCCTGAGTCGCTAGTTGTAGTCCGCTTTGCTGCCTCCCACAACCTGGGAACAACAACCAGACTCATTGAGTAAAAGCAACCACGTACAGGTAATACAGTAATACCTAATAATAGTATACACCAGGGTAAAAGATGTGATAATATCAGTACCAATTAATTGCTTTTTTTCATTTTGAAATCTAGACATTGATCATATTTTTTCTTCTTTGATTACATTATTACTGAGCTTAAAATGTCATGCGATTTCTACGCTCTAATAAAGATTTAATATACAAGGCTGACTTGTGCTTTAAAGCAAATATCATAAATAATTATGATAGTCCAGCAGATAACCAGCCCACAATCTACTGGAGCAGGCAACCTGCTGAGTTTATATCCTAAACATGATATTTTGAGGTGTTAGGGCTATACAATGGAGCTGGCAATACACAAGAAATTACTGTAGATCTACAATGGAACTAAATATAATATAAAGCCTAGTTACAGTACACTGTACACCTGTGGATACACGTGTTGTAATATATCAACTGATTAAAAGTGTAATTGGTGCTAACTAGGTCAACAGCTAAATCAAACAAAAATTACATATATATTTATTTGATTACTTTATTTCACAAACCTTTCTTTTCCTTTTGCATCCATGTAGGTTATTCTGCTCAGAGCCAGCCATTTACACCTTGCAACTTCCTGTTAAGAACAGACTACAGTTAGCTCGATATGAATCTAATTACGGCAGTGTATTTATATGTACATGCATTACTAAATGTGAATATTTCTTATAAATTCTTGGTTTTGTAATAGAAAGTTTTGAACTGATTATAGATTTTCAAATTTGTATGCAACTGTGGCAGATTTTATTGTACATAGGATTACGTCTGACTAGGAACCTGGAGATCGAGGGTTTGATCCCCGGTGGAAGCACACTATTCTCTTTCCTGTTACAAATGGTGTCTGTGGCCCTTCCTGTAGTGACAGGGAGTTAGAACCTGGGTTGTGGTGTTCGAGGGCGAACACATTTACAAAGGGGGGAGTAATGTGGCAGATTTTAATTGTACATAGGTTACCGTTACCTACCGTTACTACGCCTATCATCCTGTTAGCTTGTGCCACACATTCTGATATTTGTTTGTTAAATTTCAAGTTCTTATAAAAAAATATTCCCAGATCTTTTTCTTACTCAACTTGCTCCATATTTTTTTCTGTCCATTTTCTTTCATACCGTAAACTTTTTCCGTTTTTGTGACCTATATGTAGTGATTTACATTTACCAGCACCAAATTTCAATTGACACTTTTTGGACCTGTTACTGAGTTTATTTAAATCTCTTTGTACTATGTTTGTTTCTAGTAGTGTCCCTGCTTTACCGATCAACTTGGCCTCATCTGCAAATAACTTTATGATTGTTTCGACATATTCTAGTAGATCGTTTGTAAAGATTAAGAATAAAATTGGTCCTAGGATGCTTCCTTGAGGTATTCCACTTTTTACATCTTCCCGACTAGATGTTTCTCTATGAACTTCTAAAAAACGCTCTTGATCCAGTACAATTTTTTTCCTCTTATTATACATCCTTCAAGTTTTGTTAATAGTCATTGGTGAGGCACTGAATCAAATGCTTTTGTGAAATCTAAACACACAATATCCACTGAATCCTGCACTGTCATTAGCTCATTCGGTAGAGCATAAGACTAGTAAACAAGAGGTCCCAGGTTTGACGCCTAGCACAGGTATTGAAAAAATAATGACCTTACATTCCTTTTTACCAGATTATCCAATACCAGATCACAATAGATTTTATCATTACAATAAACAATCATTACATAAAAAAACTTTCCTATTGCTTGTGAAATAGTAACATATGTTCATTGCTAGCCGGAGTTTCCTCTGGCCTACTTAGCTATACCATAAGAGGCCGCTGGTCGGCCTTTTTTCTATCGGATATGATTTTGTCGACGCCTGTCAAAAGTATCACGCCGTGTAAAACCTCTAACAATAGTTCTGTTGGAGTACCTTTGGCCCCGACATGTACACCAGCCTTAGACATTTTGATAGGTAGATGTACTAGACATCTACCTGTGAAAATGTTAAGTCTAGTGTCTTGGCCAGAGGAAACTCGGGCTAGTCCATTGCTTAATAACAGTATGTTACCAAACCAAGATGCGCCTATACTAGCAATTTAGCTAACAACGGTGTCGAAGAAGAGGTGAACAGGTAATAATCAGATAAGTTGTCCTCGAAAATGTAAGCTGAATTTTTTTCATACATTATTTATTTTAACACAGGAGCCTGCATCTGGTATGTATAAACATATGAGAATATAAAATTGTTTGCCTACCTTGACAATATAGAAGGGTATAGGCAGACTATTTTCTGTTTTCTCACATTTACATACATGACAACATTAGGCCTAAATCAGATCCACAATAAACAATTAGGAGGACCTTGGTTCCTCCAAGTAATTTATGAGATATGTACTTACTTCTTCTTTTACAAAACACGGGACACTAGTTGGAGCATCCATAATGCGTCTGGTCGACACCGACAAAAAGAAAGTAGATGTCAGCTTAGATTTGGACAGTGCGATTGACACGTTTCTACTGATGACACTTCCTACTAGACCGATCATTCATAACAAGCCGCGGGACATCAACAAACGCACATGTTCGGCTCCAACTCTCCTAAACGCTTGCACGGGTAGCATGATTTACCCAAAAAGACCCCAAAACACCCCAAAAGACCAAAAAAGACCCCAAAAACACACAAAAACACCCAAAAACACCGATAAGACCACACAAAAACACAGCCGACACTTAAATGATATTCAGTTAATATTATAATGTAGTAACCTGTTTTTTCGGCATCAACTGTCAATTCTTTCAATTCGAAATTACGAGAGTATGGTATATGTGTTACCTCCCTTGCATCGCGATGTTACAGATGACAGCATTATTACATCAAGACTCACAGTCAGATTATTTGATCATAACCATTTATTTTGATAATCATATTTTAACACATATATATACATAGATTACAAACACAACGATGAAAATAAGTTTGTTAAAATTTGTGAAAATACATTTGCAGTACATAAAACATAAATGGTAATAAAAGAATTGTTGAAATAAATATTATTTGAACAAGTTGTCACAATTTTAAACAATCAGTTGATATAATAAAACAATTGTATATGGAAGTGTGTAATGAAAACGTTATAATACAAATAAAACGAAATCAACAAGTATAATATAAAATGAAAAAAATAAACCATATAAGCGGATCTAGTTTACTTATACACGTGTAAGTGAACTAGATCCGCTTATATGGTTATTTTTTGGAAAGATAAATATCCCAAGAGATATCTTCCACGTAAATAATGGAAAAAACATATATCCTAAATACTTGGAATTTAAACAACACTATAAAATAACCTAAGGAAAATGGCGGATGAAGAATGTATGACATTAAATAGAATTAAACTAATGAATGACACAACATGTCCATTTGCGAAAAGCAATATCTGAAGAGATAGCGAATCATGTTGTGATTCACCAATACAATAATCTATAAATATGTAGCATAAGAGAAATGGGGAAGGAAATGAAGACGTGACACAAAATTCCCTGTACAGTTGATACTTGTGACCCAATACTCATGGAACTGGCCTATTGTTTTTTTTTACTGTTCTCGATCTTTCAGATTTTTGTCTTTTCCTTTGACATGGCTTTTTGCCACAGTTTTGCTAAGGTTTTGGGCACAAGAAGTCTGTGCCTGAAGCCTTAGCAAAATTGCTTTCGCGGGTAATATTCTTTCTTTTCGCCAAAAAGGTTCTAAAATATACGTCTTTTTCTTTTTGTGTTTTTTTATTCCAAATTTCCTGGTCCACCTCAAATGATGTAGTTTTGCCTTCTAGCCTAAAGTTGCCAGTTCCATGTAATGCCCGTCTTAAATCAAGTATCTGCATTTGAGACACTAAGGCCATTTTTTCAACTAGCTGAGGTAATTTATGCTGTTTGAAATTGGCAACCTGTTTCAATCTGTTATTAATTGACTCCGAATTGTTGTTGGTCCAAAGAGCATTGACTTTCTTTTCCCGAAGAGGTGCCATGACATATGCTTTGATTTTGCATTCAAGAAACTTTAACCAATAATGCTGAAACTTTGTATTTTTTTCAAAATATTGTTCAAGCTCTGCTTTTCTTGATTCATACTCAAGATCATCTTTGCTGAAAACGATTCCGTCTTCGCCAAATATGATGTTGATTATGTGTTGCCTGTCTTTTAAAGAAGTACCAGATTTTTCTAAGAACCTAATGATGTTTTCTTTGATATGTTTGGTACATAACAGGAAATTTCCATTTGGAAAGCAGTCATGCAAGGCATTCGTCATAGCACGCTCTTCAACACTACCAACAGTAACAGGCACATTGCCTAATTCTGCCCTAACATGAGAGAAAAATAAGTGGTATGCCTTCATTTCCCCATCCCAATGTAAAAACATTGGTCCTAGCATAATGGGATTTTCGCCTGTTTTCTTGTGTACCACACCCTGATTTTTGTATGTGAGCGTGGTCACAAAACATTTCCCTAGATTAAATGTTCTATCCACTCCTAACACACTACCACCTTCTCCTACACAATTTGACCTCAAATCTGACAGCTGTTCATCTGTATACAAGATTACATTTGGAAGTTTGTGCTTTCCATGTTCGATTTTTTGAATGCTTGGGTTTGTATGAAGTTGGGAAATAATTGACAGGACTTCATCAGCAATATTGCTTGTATTTTGGTTTTGGGGCTGATTTTGTTTTTTCTTGTCCTTGT